ATAGTTTATTTTCTGTTGTGTTGTGAAAAAAAAAAAAAAAAAAAAAAAGTAATGGTTTTGTGAAGATCTGTTTTCTTTGCATTTCAATTGCTTTCAGATAGCATTTGTGATCAAAAACTCATAATGCTGCTTTTGCAGTGAACCTTCAGAACAAAAAGATCTGGAATTAAAAGCTCATGGAACTGGAAGTTTTTCTGCCTCTAAAGATTTTGGAATGACATAACTACACAAACACAGCTTCACTGGTGCAAATTAGGGAGCTCTGATTGCTCCCATGTACAACTATGTGTCAGCACAATTAAACACAGATGCCAATTAAGCCCAGGCAGTATTAAGCACAGAACTGCAGCTTCATAGCAAAATGCTTCAATGGGACCAGAACTTCACTTTTCCTTCCTAAATGGAGTCACTAGGAAGGATCTAGAGGAGACAGAAGCATCTGCATAGACGAAAAAAGAGATGAGAGACCTTGGGAAGTCCTACAGGGAATAAGAAAACTGACAGTCTAAAGCTTCAAAAGCACAGCAGCTTTCCTGTCTTTTTAGCTGCACAGAAAAATCAATGATAGGGCTTTATATCCTCCTATCCTGAAAGGAAACAAGAAACACAAAGGAAAAACAGCATAAATATCAGCCATCTGCTTGGGGGGAGCTGCCAGTTGCATGGTTTTCAGTAGGTGATGTATAGACACAAGCCTGTCCTTCTGGCAGGTGGGGCAGTGGCAAGCTTTTGTTCCTGCCTTGCCTCACAAATGCCACCTTCTTTCTAGCAAGAAGTTGAGCAACTTCTCTCTTTAGAGTGGCTTGATTCCACCGCATACCAGAAAAAAGCCTTGTCTCCAAAGTAGTTAGTAATAAAATATTTTATAAACATCCAGCCTCTTGTGTAGCAGCTGAGAAAAACAAGGGAAACTCTTTCAACTTCCTCTTCTCCACAATTTTCATTTTTAAAAAGCACATGTGTGTGTTAAGGGGGAGAGATTCAGCTGCCTCCTAATTGTTCCCCAGCTTCCCGTCAAAGAGGTCTGGACCTAAATCCCAGGAAACTTATCACTCCCTGTCTGAGGCAGGACTCAGGAGGACAATGGCTGGCTACAATCAATAGTGCTGCAGCTTGTTAAAATGTATGTTTGCATTGCTATCTTCTACTGAGAAGTGCCAGTATATAATAGCAGCTCATAACAGTTACAGCAGAAAAATACTAGTAATTCGAAGTGCTGCAAATCACCAAGCAATTTATCTTTTAGCTTCTCTGACAATTACTAGCAAGAATCATCTCCCTTTAAAAATAAAAGCAGATGGATGGAATAAAAAAAGTCTACCAAAAACTTTACCACAGTACAACTCAAAACCATGGCACAGTGTGGTTTCCAACAGAAGAGCTAATTTTTCCTGATGCCATATTTTTTCATCTCGATTTCAGTTCCAAGGTTGGTGATGCCACAACACCTGAGATGATGCAACAGTGTAGTCCTAGAGTAATTTTTCTTCATATCCTTATCAATGTTATATCAAAATCTTCAACACAGATAACCAGTTTCATTTGGTGTAAGCCCAAAAGCTATTTATCCTGTAGTCATTTTCCAAAGCTCCATTTGGTATTCCAACAAGTTGGCCTAATTTTCCCAGAAAAAGCAACCCTTCTTTGCCCCCTGGAGCAATGACAAAGTTGTCCAGCATGGAAGACAAAGCCTGAGTAGCTACCCCTTCCTGTGGTTATGACCACCAGAGAAGAGACCCCAGCACATGACTGAGGGAAATAAATATCAGAATACATAACAGGCTATGTACTGACACAGCTGACTTTGTCTCCAGCTTACTTCCCCCCATTGTCAGCATAAAACTATAAAAATGCATAATGCTTTCCAGGTTGCTTCAGTGCATGTGATAAGATCTCCCCTAGAAAGGTCTTCCTCTCCAAATCCTGCTCAGATTTCCCCTGATAGCAGGGAACATGAAAAAAAGTAGTAGATTTGAGTATGACCTTTTAAAGAAAAAGGTGAAGTGTCATCTCTTATTTTTCTCTCACATTTCTGACATTCAGTTGAGTCTCCTACTCAGTACTGGGATCCTCCAAGATAATCAGCTGTTGCCACTGATTCAGGAACTTACCAGGGAACAGGACTGGAGGCCCAAATCCTGTTTGTTTGGCTTTAAGGCAGAACCACACATTGAAACAGTCCTTCTTTCTTCAAGAGAGCATGAAGCACAGATGTGGTTGTAAAAGCATCAGCATCTTACTCTGGGAGATCCAGTCAGACCACGGGACATCAGATAAACTAAGAGGCCAAGCAGAGTACATCCACTGTCCTGTTGAGAACTAGGAG